CTGAACCGTTCACAACAAATGATGTTCCCAATCCGTATAAATGACCACAGTATTTCGCATCGTCAATGTTGTCCTCGAAAAACATCTAGAATAAAACATTTTTGCTTTAATATCGGATGGTATTAATCGCATTATCAGTCGAATATGATTTTTACCTCTCGCATCTTAAAAAAGACCATTCCCGTGAGTAACGAATCAGATCCAGCTTGATGCTGCGGTCCCACTCTTTGTATTTCCAATTGTTCCGCTACTTCCTGAAGACCTCCTTTCAGATTCTTGCAAGATTTCATTAAGTACTGAATACAAAAAGAATTTTTATTAGAATCATAGAAAGGAACAATACATTTATTATAACAAAATAATAAGCGTTCAAGCTTACTTTTACATCATATATCGTCGGAAAATATATCCTAAGGAGTTCAAAGAATTCACTTTCTTCCTGTGGTAAATTTTGGTCTGTAAGAAGCTTCAGTAGATAACCGAAATCATAGCCGGAATGAAACGATAGCCATTTTATATCGTCGACAAGAACAATTCCCGATGTCATTAAAAGTTCAGCGAAATCCAATGGATCTATACCCTCTTCTTCGTGTTTTTTGAATTGAATACCACTGTTCTGTAGCATATCTATACTATCCTGTGCATACATATCCTCCCTAAGATAAGGTATAACATCAATATTTTTTTTATTATTATTCTAATCCACTTATCTTATTCTATATTAATTGTCAGAGCTTACTGTAAATTGAATTTGAAATTAAACTGCCACGTCGTGTAACTACCCCCAGGGGTATTCCCCGATTCATCGAGAAACGTAAGACCCAATTGAATTATCCGTAGAAGATCTACATTACATCGTAACAACTGATACTGATAATCGGCACTAGTTCTGAATTCACCTGGAATTCGGAATTATTTTTTAAATCATTATTTTATTCTGCCAAGGAATGCTAGATGATTTGAGCAGTTCGTAATGTACCGTACCAATAGGTCTAGCTACTACTCCGGGAAATTCAGTATCCATAGCGATGTACTGATATTGTTGTACGACTTGCCGTATCGTTCGGAATTCTTCTTCCAGATTGTGGCCCCATACATCTCGGATCCCACATTCTTCATTACTGGGCATAGTCGCCCCACCCTTCTGCTGCCCTATAGGGTTATTACCTCCTGTAAAGTTTATTGCTGATCAACATTATTCTGTACAGAACAACACCTATTGGTTTAACAAAAATCATTGTGGTGCTTGTGTCTCTAGACTTTAATATTCTGTTTCTTTTTGATCTTACTATATGGATTTTATTTCAATAATTATTTAATAATTATATAGAAAATGTATAATAATCTATAGAAAATGGCTCCTACAACAATAACTTCTAATATCAATGCATTCTTTGGGAATTCTTTGAAAGCAGACATTTTATCTTACGGCAAGAGAGACTGTATATTTCTTAACAACTTCATTTCATTTCTTTAATATAATTTTACTACTTTCAGGGAGGGCTTCAATTATCATGTTCTTCTGTACAGATGGTTCATGCAATTTGCTCCACACAATTTTGCCTCAAAGTTCCTGTAATACGTATATGCCATATTTTTGTTGTCGAAAAGGTATGAATTTGCATTGCACCTTTGGTATTTATCCTATAATTGAACTGTTCTTTAATTTGAACAGATTAAAATCAAGCGCATTGCTCCTCAAGACACGATCCATTGAAAATTCTTAAGATCTCTATTGACCTAGCTCGTGGGCTACATGTATTACCAAACTTATGAGACAAACAGTACCCAAATTAAAAAAAGGAATCACTTACATGTATTTTTCAGAAACATTATACGTACCGGTAGCTGAGGGCATAAGGTTAGATATTCCTGTCGTCACCAGGTCTATTTTTACGTTTAATTCCCACCGTCACAGCTTTACCTTCTTCATATCACTATAGACATATTCACATGAATATTATCACCAATTAAACATTTCTTATTGCATAATACACATATACAACATTCCTGACATAATTTGAATACAATGCATCCACATTCAACAGCTCAGAAATTTGGCTCCAATTGTTGCCAAATAAACATTATAGTTTGAAGGTTAGAACTCCAAGCAAACAAGTATCACTTGTCATAGCGGATACAGTGTAAATGAAATTCAAAGAACATAATATTAACGTGAAATACAATCGATGCGAGCAATTCAACGACACAGGACTACTCTACGCGGTTTTAAACTCTAAATAAAACCGTTCTTTCCAGAAATAGGTTATGTGCTTCGGATAAACAAAAACGATTTGTTCGTGTGAATATGAAAGAAATGAGTATCATGATGTACCTCTTTGTGCGCCCGTTTTCCCGCACGATGTTTTACGGTATGTTACGTGAAACACTGACTTCTAAAACACTTATCGCGCTTTTAAATCTTCTGTCACTGCACGAACAGGTTAAATGAGTTTCCAAACTCAACGCAGCGATTCCCTCTACATAGCACCTAAAGCACAGACTCGAGTCTGTGCCGAAAGTTGGGGCGCCAAAATCGCTAGAGTGGTTTTCTTTAGTGCCTTGTGGCGTTGCTAAGATGTTCGTTCGTGTATTAACGTTCGGAAAATCGAAGAGGGCGCTGCAGACATAATTCCAATCGTTTACCCTACGAGTCAGACAGCATTCATCGCAAAGAACTTCACAATTTCGTCGATTCCAGACCGTAAAACGTGGCGCGACAGTCGAGTAAGTAGATTATACCGCATGACACAGACGTAAGGGTTTATATGTATACACACACTTGCCATAAATTTAATCAAAATCCTTTAACCAGATGATACGTTTGAATGCACTTAAGTAATTATCGTATGTCTTGCTGTTATATCGTAGTTTTAAAAACATGGCCAATCAGATTATTTAGCATAATTTCTCGTGTACAACCGAGCAGAAATTTATTAGACCGAGTCGGAACTAGTTAACAAAAACATGATGTATTATTCTCCATCACCTTAATGGACTTTTCCGCGCGAAAATACATTTACACAATGCCATTATTTATATCCCGTTCTGCTGAGTGCCACCGGTCAAGTGCTGTTTATCATTAATTATCATTGCAGAACACGATCGTTCAGATGATAAATGAGACAGGCTCGGATCAAACGTTACCAAATTCGTACGCAATTCGAGTAAACGTTTATTTATAAATTTGTTTACCGACATATCGCTGATGCGACTGGAATATTTACATGTTAATAAAAAAGTTCCGGGAAAACTGCACTCGATAAAACCGTGTCGTATGCACGAGTCTGAATGAATGCGTCGTTATGTAGAATCGAATAGGTTATCTCTGTTAATAAAGAGCGAAATAGATAAATAGCTTATCATCGTACGTGAGTCACAATATCAATGCCATTTAAAAGTCGTCACAATGGTCGCGCGACAAACGAGCGGTTACACCAGTCGTTGTAAGGAACCAGAGTGCGATGTTTCGGGTTCAGCATTCGCGGCGATGTACATTGAACCATATTTTCCCCTGATCAAGCACGTTTCAAGGATTTGGTTAAACCAATGAAAGTATAACACCATGTACGTGTGTGTTGAGCAAATATACACGCCGATAATACGATTAAAAGTGCCATATCGTTCGTTCATCCTTATATAGGTTTCGTATCGAGTCTCGCGCGATCTATATAAAGTCCGGTTAATAACGTATAGGAGCATTAGTTGCCGAAGTTGCAATACGAAGTTGAGCTGCGCACTGTTAGCACCAGGAAACCGTAAAATGAACGGGAAAATCTTCGCCTTCTTCTTAATTGCCGTTTTCTGCGTGCTCATCTACGATGTCTCTGCTGCTATTGGACCACGTACGTAACTTCGTCGTTTTTTGCATAAATTGGAAATTAAAGAAACACCGAAGATTTAGAGGTGGAAAGAATAAAGAATTTTCATTGATATAGTTTAGACGGTATTGATCTTAATTTCATATTAAAGGCTATTCAGTTTTTCCTGATTTCATTGGGATATTGTAGATTCAGTTTGTAGTAACTATTCCTTGAAAACACCATAGAACTTCTATCACGTTGATTTATATAGTGAAACAATAGACTTAATGGAATTCATTTTATTTATAAATTAGTTACAATGGTTATATAATATTAATTAGTATATACAGAATATACAGAATATTTTTCTGCATTCATTTGTTACTTCAATACTTGTCACACATTTTTGGTATCTAGTATATCCTACTTTGACCGTGCCGAGAGCCTTGGTACTGATACATATATTAGGTGTTCACGGGTAATTGTTTGACGAGTCAACCATTCGTTCTGCAATGGAAAAGTTCTATATTTAACAGGGATAATTGCTTCAATTGACGTAAACTATACCATTGGTATTAGTGACTTTTAATGTATTCTCTATTAAAGAAGAAACAAAGATTCAGAGTATATTAAATTCTCCATTTTCTCGATTTCCGAGGCAGTGAGGTAATTTTACCTGTATTTTCGTTCCAATGACGGTTGTAAATCATTTGTAGAGTGCTTATTGCCAGTGGAGCGTGGTCCATGCAGAGCGAGGATCAGGAGATACTGTTACAATCCGGAAACGAATGAGTGTGAAGAGTTTCTGTACGGCGGTTGCCGCGGAAACGAAAATAACTTCGCAAGTTTGGAACAATGTACCCAGTTCTGCTCGTGAATAATGAGAACTTTGCACCAAAGTAATCGAAGTGCAAGGGACTGAATAAATAATACGGGTAATACTCTTGGTACCATGCAGCATCGAGTTTCCCTGAAGCACCATATTTATTATTACTGTACATTGGCAATAACCCAAATGTTGTTCATAGCTCGGGGATGAATTCGGTAAATCGGGTTATACATAAGTTACACGATAAGCCGAGTTCATTCATAATAATGCTTGTTACCGTCAAATAAACTTCAATCGCAGCATTGTACTTCACTCTTGTTTTTCTCGCGCTCAACGGGTCCCAAGACGATCGATATCTATATTATAAGATTCTCGAAAGTTACACGAAGAAACATCGAAACACAACGTCTGCGATAACTTATTTAAATATGATCGGTTAAGGAAAATACATATTAAGTGAGATAAAGAAACTCCGATTAATATCGGCCGCTGATCCTCGGAGGGCAGAGGTAAACAACAGATTGCCAATTCAGTGTAAACAGACAGTTGACACGCAGTTATTATCGATTGTCATATGTAACTGCAACGGGGTCATGGTAAGCAATTCAGAATGCGAATCTTGCGTGTGGTGTTCTTTGCCAACCTTATCTTTCGAATTTGCTTAAATAACATTGATAACATCGGCAAAGATTGTTCGCGGGGTATATAGATTCTCAGATTGAATCCCCTTGACTCTGTCTTTCCATTTACTACTTATCACTACTTTCCTCATTACTCTTCGCTTTCTACGGAATACTACCGATTCCCGCCTACTATTCATCATTCGGTACTTTCTCCGGGTAGAATCAAAGTCACTCGGTGCGAATGAACATCTATGAGTTTGACCTACGACCGCGCGCTTCCACTTTTCCTCGGCGTATCGATATCATTTCGTCGTGTAAAAGATTTTTCGCGAACGCCAACACGCGAGTTGTCATCTGCGACTTGTTATGCAACATTTCCACCGAGCGGAGGAACGGGACGGAATTCCTCGCAGCGGACATCACGTTCCGTTGTCAACGCGAAAACGCGTTAAGCGTTCGAATGACGGAGGAAGATTGATACCGTTCCGTTAGCGTGCCGGATCACGGAACAACATAACAGTGCGTACACGCAAAAGAAGGCAAAGAACGATGATGCACGATCACTATTATCCGGCCCTAAATGGACAGCCGGCGAGCTGGCCGGCGGGATCGTTAAAATATCTCCTTGCGCAAGGTGTGGCAAATAATAAGCATTCCCGTACACGCACGTACGTGCTACGATAATAGAGAAATTGGATAATTTTAAGCATGAGTGGAACTCCAGAGATCACCGGGCGACACGTACGGTTCCAGTTCAACAAACAGAACACGCGTGATAGCCGGGAACCGTGCGCGGCGTGCACTCGACGACCGTTTTTCGAGCCACCGGGGTCGAAAACTTTCCATCGGCTCGATTACAGAACGCCGCGCGGCACGGCGAACTGTCAGTCAAATGTGATCACGGAAACGCGGCCGGCCTGCGTGTGCACCCTGAAATGCGGCATGCTTTATCCGCGAAACGAATCTAAGGATGCATACCTTCGATCCGTGGCACTCGATCGCGTCTCGTTATCTCCGCTCGGCCGTGTCAGCCGGTCCCGCAAATATCGAGACGCCCGATGACAGATAATTTATTATAATATCATTGTCGGCTGTTTTTATAATAGATATCGATTGCCCGAGATTGACCGGCTTCGACGGGAACGCGTGAAAGTCCGTTCGAGTGCCGTCGTTTCGAGGCTGTTTCGCGAGAGTGAAGTTCAATTAGGTGCAACGAATCGATTTTTATATTTCGATACAGTAACGGGATGTTCCTAACAATCATCTCCGAAACCTCCGTTCGTCGAACCACCTGTTAACGATGTACGTTTCGGTTAAACATTCTTTTAACAAGGTTTCATTCCTTTTAATTGAACTCCAGTTTTACGGTTTACAATGGATTTCCTTTTCAATGCTCTTTTCATTCACCGTTCGTCTCCTGTTCCCTGGAATACACTAATATCGAGATACATCAAGGAATCTCGTGTTTAATTAAATACTGTCCGACGCCGACACATGAGCGCAGAGACATTAGAATATTCGGTAGCGCGATTGTCACTCAGGATCGAACATCAATCTAAGGAGTTCCAACTTCCCGACGTCCCCGTTGACAAGCGCTACCAGTTTTCCCCGTAAAATCCGATACAGGGGGATTCGTCGAATTAGTAACTCCGTCGAGGTACGCGTAACGATCTCGAATCTTACCATACCGTGTCTCGTACATCCTTCAGAGTTACCGCTCGCGCTCGCGCTCACGGCCGTACACGGCGAAGTCCCGCTAACGATTAGATTGAATTAGGTTGGAAGTGAGATCCATTACTGTGCACTGGCTTCTGGGTTCGCCGGGGTACCCAGGCTCTTTATGTAAAGGGAAGATCGACGATACGCGGTATTTGGAAGGCGGACGACTCACTTATCTCCTCGCGCGGATTTATGGGTCGGATCGTAAAAGCCGGCCACCGTGTACACCGAGTTTGCGTCTTCGGGTCCCTCCGCCCCCCACCCGCCCAACCTGTGCTTTATGACATTAACCCGTGAAGAGGCTGACGAACGTTATCCGACCGTGTGCAACGTCGCGACGGCCATTGTGTTACACCATCCTGCGATCTTATCGACTGGCTCGTCTGCGTTACAAGTGTAACACGTTTCAGTCATTCCGAGGCTTTATCGACGGTGCATTTGCGGTCCCCGTCGGCCGCTTTGATTCGTTCGTGGGAAAGCTGGCCGGTACCGGAGAAACAAGAAAGAATGGGGCCAAGTTAAACGACGTTGGTCATGTTTTATTGACTCGAGAAATTTCGGTATGA